ATATATATATATATATATATATATATATTATTTTGATAAAAGATAAGATTTTTCGACTATACGATGAAACATGTTAATGTATCGAAGTATTTTCATTTCTTCAATAAAGCTTCTTTAATAATTATTCTTATCTTCTATTATTTTCTTCGTTTGATCATGTATTCTAATCTTATATTTACATAATCAATACTGAATAAGTAGTAGTCATATTCTAAAATAAATTATTCAAAAAAATATTCATGCGTAAAAAGTAAACATGTAAAGAGAATAATGCTTTGAAAGAATCAGATTGTATAAAGAGCATATAGTTATTATATATATATATACATGTATATATACATGTATATCATGACATTAATGTGTGGCATGAAACTGCCGTCTCAAAGATTTGGGCCGGTCAACACAGGACCCACAAGAGCATGACATCTCAAATTAGATTAATATTGCAGTCATGGTCAGGAGTTTCCCCTTTTCCTTCGTTGTGGACCAAATTCTCTTCTAGTAGGCGTTGACTTGGCCTTGTCATTCATGGAATTGGGATCACCCAACGATTAAGACAAAAGAAGTTGGAGGTTGGATGCAATCTCATGAAGAACAAGGCCTGCGAATGATTCAAATCTTCTTTAGAAATGTGGACCTCCTTACGTATTAAACAACAATTGCCTCGATTCAAGCTTGGCTTATGTCGAGTACAGTTGAACTAAGTTACATGTACCCAATCATCCATCATCCATTATTCTTTCATCTTCCTCGCGGAAATTTAGGTTCGGGATGGGATTCAAACGCGTAAAATTGACTATGATCGAACCTATGCAGTTTTATTATCTTGTGTGGATCCAAAGCCAAATCCAATTCAGGGAGCCATGAATTGAATCCAATGAAGTGGTGCTGTTGAACTGATCAAATCGACCACGCTATCTGCTGACCTGCGCTCTGTGACGGAGTGAATGAGAGAGAGGATTAGCTGCTAAATTGACTGTGTCAATTCTCATCAGCTTCATGAAACAATTAAGTCTTCTTCATTGATTGCTGATGAAATCAATCCACCATGAACAACCACCACCACCACCTCTCTCTCTCTCTCTCTCTGTATATCGATATATATAGCAGCAATATTGGGACGAGGAAGAGAAGCATGGAGCGAAGCGGCCTGGAGATGGATCTCCCTGGGTTTAGATTCCATCCGACGGAGGAAGAGCTGCTGGACTTCTACCTCCGGCGCATGGTTCAGGGGAAGAAGCTTCAGCTTGAGATCATCTCCACCATCAATCTCTATCACTACGATCCCTGGGAGCTCCCAGGTGCATACTCTTGCGGTTTGATCACTACGCACGAGTAGAGAGAGAGAGCGCGCGCGTCGTTCATGGCTTACTGACTGTGACACTCGATCGCAGGGATGGCCAAGATCGGGGAGAGAGAGTGGTACTTCTACGTCCCAAGAGACCGCCGACAAGCCAGCGGCGGGAGGCCGAGCAGGACAACCGAGCGAGGATTTTGGAAAGCCACCGGATGCGAGCGGCCGGTGCGCAGCGCCGCCGACCCGAAGCGACTCATCGG